GCGAAGTGCGCGTAGTACTGCAGGTCATTATATCCCAAGGAACCATGAAGTGCCTAAATGCTCCACTCGTGAAATATAGTCCGAGATAAGTTGTGCTTAATAACGCTGTATCACAATGTAAACACAGTCAACCACCATTGTGTTATTATTACTATTACAGTTAGTACAACGCCTTGTCATCATATCTCAGTCATCATAGTCTGATATAATATCTATTAACGCATAATTCCTTTAAGATCAGATTTCACGTCATATTGCACCTCGTGTTTGTTCCTTGTTGCCTAGGGAGGTGTGGAAGGGGCATTTAAGCAGGCCACGGCGGCATATTTCAGTATCTCCAGTGTCAAATTCTATTTGCATTATCTAGTCCGCTAGAGTCACCGCGTGCTCATCACAAGCGAAGTTTCAAAAGCTGGCACTCCTTGTATACCACCGCAGAACTCTTTCTAGACAAGATGTCACAGCGTACTGCAGAACTTCCAAGAACCATGCGTCATCTAACATAGTCTGACATACGAACATACTTCGAAGTTCATCTGACTATTATAAAATGTTAGCATAATACGATATGATGGGAATTTTCTCCGTTGCGGTAACAGGCCACGCAGTTTCAGTAATAAAGCTGCTGTGGATTAATGAGCTGTTTCATACATGCCAATAATACTTCCCATAAATGAATCGAATCCAAAATCACGTCTCCTGAAATTCGGTAACTTAGCGCATCCATGCAGCTGAAGTTCTACCTAGCCTAGTGTTATAATAATTAGATTACTATATCAGACTATAACACACAACGGTGACAAATAGTCGCGTACTAAACAATGCAGAGCGATATTCGCTTTAATAATTTGAGCACTGGACCTCAAACGTCAGTATATTAGAGTATGCATTCCAAACAGCGCCATATTCCAATCTAAGTTAATACTGATGAAGCACTGTTGTAGTATACTTAATGAATTTAAGAATGCTATACATCTGAATATTCACTCAACGTAAGATCACATCGTCTAAAAGTCCCTAATCTACAGTAGCTACGCTGTGGCAATTCCGTATAAGCTATTAGCGTAACAACTGTATGACTATACTAAACTAACCATTTTCTAAATATCATTCTTCAATACGCTCCAAGGTAATAAATCTCATCCAAATTTTTTTCAATGCAAATAGATTTTTGCATGGCATACGTATTTTTTTATGTTATTGCGACGTTTGAGCTTCCGACATAGAAGCCATCCAGCCGAAAGCCATGTATCGTACTGTACTGTATACCTGTACTGTTAAAAAAAAATTTCCTTGATGATAGCTTTTGTGACGGAAGCCGAAACGTCGAAATAAAATAAAGGAGTATCTTATCTCACGTTCAAAGCCATCTACCACAAATTAGAAGAGTTTAAACTACTACTACAGCGGAACAACAATGACAGTACATTAAAACGCCATGTTATGATACTGTTTTATTATGCTGCCCTACGTAATACTCATAATACTATATAAAAACATTATTTTAATAAAATGCCTAAATTACTACGTTATAGTGCTTATGCTACGCAAGAAAGCGGAAATGGTGCTGAAGCCGGTTCCGACAGGTTCAGGCGGTGGCGTAGCCCGCCACTCAACAAAGACGGTTTTTAGCGACCGTGACCTCACAAAGTGCTGCACAATTTTGAATTCAATGAGCTGCAATAAGGTCGGGGAGACGGTTGGCAACAGTTCATAAGGGATGGCACCTCGAATGAATTAGAAATCAATT